ATCATTTTCATAATTTCATGATAAACATCATTATGGTCATCTTCTTGAATTGTTAAAAAAAAGGATATCTGGAACAGTTTTATTGTTGAGGTCTTTGAGACAAAGAGTGTACTTTTCAAAATTAATTGTGATAAATTTGAAGTTTCTCTATGGAAGCTTCATTAAGGACAAATCATCTTCGTGCCATTTTATTACAATCACCACCATCATTTTGTCATCATCAAGAAAGACTGATTATGGCTAATTCAAGGTGCCACTTAACTGGAAATTCAATCAATGTTAAAAATATTTAATGTTCCCAAGTTTTTTTCATGTATTTTTTTAAAGCCCCTTGTTTAAAAGTTGTGTCGTTATTTTTTCCTAAAATCCTGAAAATTTTATATTTTATCTATGCCTGCATAGTGCTTAGCATAATTGTATAGAGGATTCTTCACTCAAAGTAAATTTGATTCACATATTTATCAATGTAGTTATATTTTTTTTTATTTTAAAAATATTTTTCTTTTCTTGTTACCCCACAGATGACCAATGCATTGCTAAACTCCCATCGGCGTGGGAACTTCAAGTTAGAGAGAGATGATTCAATAGCCAAAAGCACCAAGATAGCTCATCCTCGTGGAACTTCCATCACCAACGCATCCTTCAAAGCCAAAAAACTTCCAGGTCAGTGGATCTTGATTTGTAAAAGGATGTAATATTTTCTGCAAATCTATGTATTTAAAAAAAGTTTAAGTAGGGGTTTTACGGCGCTCGCAACTGCATAAGGTCACATGAGCGCCAGAAGATTAGAGATGTTTCAAGAGAGTAACAAACAAGTAGAGACAACATCAATTGTGGGTGGTTGTAGGGCACCACTAGTACTAGTGGTAGATCTAACTTCTTCTGTTTTACTACTTTCCTTCTGTTGTCTGTTTGTCATTCTTTTCCCCAGCTCTTGATGACTGTTATTGTGTCAATATACTTTACTCAAACAAACAAAAAACATCACTTGGTTTTGCTTCACTTCACTCTGCTTGTGTCTGTATATGTAAATAATGTAAAGTTTAACATCGATCTTCGTCTTAGTAACCTAGAGCTCAACATCATTGTGTTTGTCTTTGTATTTATAAATGACATAAAGTTCAACATAGCTCTATTTTTTTCAGTTTGTGTTGATGACATAAGGTTCAACGTTGCTCTGTATTTATAGATGATGTAAAAGTTCAACATGTCTATGTTTGTTTCTCTGTTTGTAAATAACATAAAGTTCAACATGTCTCTGTTTATCTGTGTATTCGTAAATTACGTCGAGTTCACCATCGCTTTATTTGTCTTTGTGTATAGTTCAGAATTACTTTCTGTTTGTCTCTGTGTTTGTAGAAAAAAAACACCTCAACATGGCTCTGTTTGTCTTAGTAGGCTACTTATAGACGACATAAAGCTCAACATGTCTCTGTTTGTCTGTGTACTCGTAGACGACATCGAGTTTGTCGAGGGCGACGACGTCCACAAACTGGCAACGGTCGACGAGTTGGAGACGGAGCAGTCTGTGACCAAAGCCCTCAAGGCCAAGCTCATGAACATCGGCGGCAAGCTGGGCGGGGACCGGAACAAGAACCGGGACAGTCTGACCCCACGGCACGACGGCGACTCGCCGAGAGGAGACCCGATGGACTCGGTGGACGTGGCTGTGGTTAAGGCAGGAGGTTTTGGCAGCAGCCGCCGGGGGAGTGGGGGGTCCAGCGTCAGCGGGAGTAGTAAGATTATCGTGGATATGTTAGAAATGCAGCCAGTCAGGACACGCGGCCTCCGAAACCAGAATGGTGGCGATTTTGAAGAGAATGGGAACGACAGCGGGGAGGCTGAATACTGCGAAAGCTCGGATGGGGGTAGTTCAGATAAAACAACCGCTACGACTAAGATAGCATCGTCCTCTTTAATTTTTTCCAAAAAGCATGGTATCTCCAAAGTGTCCGGGCAGGCGCCCGGCTCTCAGGCTTCCAGTAGAATTACCTCGTCCCCCTCCGCCCCGGGTCAGTCCTCCTTCTCCTCCCCCAACCTCAACACGTCCTCGGTGAACGGGAAACCCCACGGGGACGGCCCAGATTTCTCCTCCCCCCGCGCCCAGTCCGAGGGACCCGTAGGCAAAGATGCGAAACCCAGAGCCCCTCCATCTTTGTCCTCCATGTCTACACCTCCCTCTTCCTCCTCATCATCATTCCCTAACTCGTCCTCACAAGCTATCCACTCTTCCTCCTCCCTGGCCTCTGAGCCACCTCATGCCAACTCGTCAGTTCCGCACACGGCGGCCGCTCCGTCTAGTTCCACAAGCACTCATTCCATGCCGGAGGAGCTCAATGCTTCCAGCAGTAAGAGGGAGAAACGATACAGTGGGAAAGGCCGGGTCAATCGCAATTCCTATAGCACAGACTTGTGACTTTTGTATAGCTCTCTTTTTTTTTCATAACACATACACACACTCGTTTACACAAACACATGTACACACACATACATGCTCACACACACACGCACTCACACACACACACACACACACACATGTACACTCATATACACACTCTTACACTCGTGCACGCATGCACACTCACTCACACATACACACACAGACATACATGCATGCTCACGCCCATACACACCCACTCACATTCACACTACCATCCACTTGCAGTTTCATATATGATTTATCTCTCGGTAAATTTGTCTTTGTTCTATTTTTATCCCTTGCAATACTCATTCATTGATAAAGGGAAAACTGTTGAGCCCATTTTCTAGTTTTTCCAATTGATGCAATTTGCACTGGTGTCACAAATTACCTTGATCATGAGATGGCTGCTCCAAGAACAATTATTGTATGAGCTGATTTTAATTTCTTTGTAAAAACATTTTTTTAACTTAGTAGCTACTTAAGGTGGAAAATGCTCTTGTGTTTTTCTCATCCTGGTCTTGTACATATTTCTAAATGAAATACTTTGCACATGTATTTATTATTAAGAAAGTGTTGACGAATGCAATGACAGCCACTGATATGACTGTAGAAGCAGAAATATAGTCTAGGGCCTGTTCCGTTCTGGTCCAAACTGGACTGTTGGCCTTCCCTTGCTGTGTTGTGTTCTCCCTGTCGTCTCGTGGTCCAGGGAATGTTCTAGAGTAGTTGTTGTAGCGTCTGACTGACTGACTGACTGGCAGTCTCGGGTTTGCTCCTCACTACGATGGGTTAGGAATTTTTGTTTCTTTTGGAAAGATGCTTCACGTTATATTTATTTCAAAATTTGAATGGATGTTTGGCAATTGGTAGGGGAGGTAGCATCCGGATAACAATATTTAAGGGCATAACAGATCGCGACCTCAGTGCTTTCTTGTCATATCTCCATTTTTAATACCAGTGAAAACAGTTCATAACAAAGAGTGAGCTCAAGAAGAGGTCACATATTGAGTGTTTAAAAAAAATGGAGATAAGACAAGAAAGCACTGATGTCGCGAGATGTCAAACTGTTTGTGGTTATGGGGCATGGGATGGCAGACTGGACTGAACAGGCTGGCCTATGAAGATATTGCCAAGTCATGTATGATTTTGGTTTGAAGGAAGACAACAGTATTGGAGGTTTCTAGTCATACTGCGAACTTACTTGTAGCTGAACCGTAAATAATGTATTTACAGAGGCACCAGCTCTTCATGTCTAGGTGCTTGTAGTTCTACTTTCATTAGCTGCATGCATCGTCGTCACCGGACAGAAATGTAGACCATGTAGACAGACACAGCACCACCACCATTATAATGACGCAATGTCAGTACATAGATCAAAAGTCTTCAGTACTATTTTGAAAACATTGTTCATCTGAATTATGCGAAGCTGCTCCGTTTTTACGTAGTGAACTAAAATTTGATAAAATTTTGGTTGTGAATATTTTATAATTGTTTTAGCATTCGTCAAAGCAAAAAATGTTGATGCTTACCTTTATTAGAATACAGTTTGCCAAAATTTGTGCAGTCTCAGTGAAACGCAAACCAGCTTAATCGATCAGGAGGATAACTTTTTTGTATATTTCCAGAATATTTATGTAGCATCACAACAGAATGAGTCATATGTTCCTCTCAGTTGTTTCAAGATATCGGGCAAAACCTTTATTTTTTTTTCCAAAACTATGAGCTTCTAAATCCCCAACCTCAATTGATTATAAATTTGGAACGAAAGCAGCTGGACTGATTAAAACTGTTTTCATCCACTAGTAGAGCCTGCATTGATCTTTTTCTTTGATAACCACAGTGTTATATCGTCGAAATGCGACTTGTGCCTCATTTTGTCTGGATGCTACACATTAGATTGTTTCTTGTTCCATTCTTTATGTCCTATATTTTTAGATGTGATGAGGATATGTCTTTATTGAGGCAATCCCATATAGGTGGGGAGATCTTGTTTGGTCAGGGACCGTGTGATTTGTACCTTGTATATTATTTTGTAATGCTTAGAATTGTGGTAGCAGTTTGATTGTTTGACCATATCATGTGAGAGGTACAGGCAGGGGGTGATGGGGTCGCCCGCCCTGACCCTTTGTGATCTCTGTTGGGGGTCAAGACTCTGTGATGTCTTTGTGTTGTTGACAGAACTGCCAGTCGCAGTGAGCAAGTGGCTCAAATGTCTGAACATGGTCACAGTCTGTGGTGTCTTTTTGACATCTCTCTCTCTCTCTCTCTCTCTCTCTCTCTCTCTCTCTCTCTCTCTCTCTCACCTTTGAGAATTTATGGTGTAGTAGTTACGTTAGGTTCTTCATTTCGCACAGTGTGTAGAAGTTTAATTCCTATGTGGGGAAGATTTGCACTACGGAATGTCTGTGTCTTTTTGCTGGGATAATCCTCAAGCAGGTCGGGGGTTTGGCCGTGACAGGCAGGGTCAAAGCTTCCCAACTTTTTATATACTCTTGTTTGTGTCAGTGGAGGGGTTGATAATACGGGGTGCCCACTGTGGGTGGGATCAAGTTGGGTCGGGTCGGGGGCGATCACCCAACTCGTCACTTGAAAACAAAAAGTTTGTTTTTTTAAGCGATGAGGCGGGTGCGATCGGCTTGTGCTATGATAGCCACTTTGCGACACGACCTGACCCAATCCCCCAATGGGCACCTCGTATAAGACATTCATGAGTTGTTGTTTTTTGCATCGATGGTAGTAGAAGTAGGAGTTTGAGAGCGTTAGGAACACCTTAGGGTCCTGTTTTTAAAAAAGGAAATGATGTGGGGGGGGTGAAAACCCAAATGTGCACAGCATGTTCCAGTTTGGATAGACAGAAAATAAAGGAAGTCTAGAGAGGAAAAAGAATACTTGTGATGTATGCGGCCAGAGATGAGTTTGTTATGCATCAGGGAAACCCAGCTTTACTTTTACTTGCTGATGTTTTTTTCCCTGTAATAGATGTGTGCATTTCTCTTTCATTTCTGCTACTCATCAAAGAGTGTAGAAACACCTCAATGTTCTATTTCTTTGAAACCAAACCATCTTTTTTATTAGTACAGTTTGTCTCACTTCTTTTATTTCCCTTTCTCATTCAGGTTTGTTGCTATGTGAAAGCTGTTTTTTAAAATTATATCCTTATTTGCACACACTCTGGTTTATAGAATCAGTCACATTTTAAGAAACTGCGAGCAGGACAGAGAATATTTTGTTCCTCTTTTATTGTGAGTAGGTGGATATATGTGCTTGTTTGTTTGTCACCGTAGGAAAGGCCAGCTTCTGTGGTCTATCTGTTACGTGGTTCGCAGTTGCAGACAGAAGACAAGCGTTCAATTCTCTAGTGGGGAGAGTTTTTATTGATTATCTCAGTGTGTCTGCTGGGATGTTGTTTACCTGTGTGCCCGGGTTGACCTTGACTGGCAGGGTTGAGTAGCCTGCCTCCTAAATTATCTAAATTAGTCGATAGGGGTGGGTGTAAAACATTTACCGTTACTATTATTATTACTACAGTGTAGCAGGGATAGGTCGAACACAAAAGACACGCACATCCGCCGAACTGTTCCTGGGGTCCCATTTTTTTTTGTTCTTTATCTTTGTAAGATATCCCTCGAACTACGGGCGCCTCAAACTACCGAGGCCGGTCCCAAGTAAATCAAGCGATCAGTGTAATACTGTAGGTGGACGTGTGCTATTGCCACTGTTGGAAAGGGGAAGGATGATGTAAGGATGAGAACCGTTGCTTCAATATGTCCTATTGCTGCCCGTGTCATTATTGCAAAGTGTTGGAAGATGTGATGGGCGGTATTGGTAAGTCTCATTCTTATACGAATAGTTCTCAGTCACATAGGTAAGTTGCTTATGTGGAAGAAGTTGAATAAGTTTAAGTTGATCTTTTTGCAACTTGGTAATACCAATGGAAGTCTAGAGCTTTTTTTTTACATTCACCCCATTTGAGAGCCATAGCAGCAGAAATTAATGATCAAAATGAGCTTTGTGCAATTTTCTTGTCTTTTATTAGTCCCACTTTTTTTTTCCATTTGTTGTGCACTTTTGACCATCTCCCAATATATTGTTTGTTGTGTGAAAAGCTTCTAAGCATCACTGTATGAGGTATAGCTTAAGTGAACATTTTCACAGTAGAAGAATCACCGGCTTCATTTTTATTTCCATCTCGGGCATTAACCCCCAAATCTGTCGCATGTTGGAGGTAAGATTTGTTAATACGCATAATGAGAGAAGGCCCCGTTCTTGAACGGGAAGTCTTGTATATGTGTAACACTTTATTATACACAAGCCATCCACGATCTTTTATGCAGTTTCCGGGTCTTGTTGCCATATTGTGTACAACATGTGGATCCTTTATGTTTACGAGTGGTGTTGTGTGGGATGTTTGGACGGCGAGGGTGAAAGACGGATGGCAATAAAATGTTTATTTGTTTGTTCTGTTGTCTGACAGAGGACAGTTGAGATGATGAGGGGAAGGCTGAATGGATAGCAAGTATGTAGCTTGAGCTCTGCTCTTACTTATCCTTGTGAGTGAGTGAGAGAGTGGAGGAATATAGAGTGTACGTGTTAAGACTACCAATACCAATGCCAATGACTAATTACCAAAGTTACAGAATTATGTTTGATAGATTTTATACCTTTGTCATTAGACTATGAATCCACCATGCAAAGTTGAGCCTCTATATTTGATGACCATTGTTTGTTTCTTTCTTGTGCATGTAGTCATGTGGTCACCAGGGAGATTTACCGTAGGACAGATTGTACCCCCTCCCTCTATACATCCCTCTGCTGTTCAGATGTGCTAAGCCCAACATTCTGATTTTTTCTTATTATTTACTGCAGTTTCTTAACCTGTGGTGTCTGTTGCATGCTTAAGAAATATTTTATGGAAATTCGAATTCCGAATGTTGGAAAAAAGCTTGAAAAGATTTACAGTGAAGGTAGTTTACTTTTACTTTTACTTTTTCATCCTCTGTTGCCGTTAAGCGTTGAGGGCAGTGACAGGTTTCTATGGTAGGCCAGCTCTGCAGCTCTTTCAATTGGGATAATGTAGA